ATGCGGTTTTTTATGAATTATTTGAATTATTTAAAAATTTTATTATGTAACCTGTCCTACTTTAATATACCAAAAATGTTTCTCTAGCCACATTATATTAAATATTCTCATTGGTTCATTTTTTAATTTTTCAGCTGTTTTCCCCCTTTCTATTGCAAAGGGCCTAATTGGTTAAAATTCTTGGCTAAAAATCAGTAACTAAAATTTAATTAGTATTTAGCAATGATTAATAACTTTTTTAATTATTTTGATTGTAATTAAAAATGATCAAAACTAAATATTACATTGTATTTATTTTAATTGCAATTAAGGATTATTAATTAACTAAATAACATAAAATAATATTTTAAATATTAATGATTGTAATTTTGTAATATTTGATATTTTTTATTTTAAATATATTATTATTAAAAATTTTAGAATAAAATTATAATTTAAACTTTATAATTTATAATTATAATTTAACAAAAACAATTATATTAATTTTATAAATAATATAATTAATATTAAATTTAGGATTTTTATTAAATAATTCTAATAAACTGAAATTTATTTAAGTAAATTATTAGGTTTTAATATTATATATAATAAAATTAAACTAGCTAATTTTATATATATATAAAATCTTTAATTTAAACTCTAATCTAATTCAAATAATTTAGCTTTTTACAAAATTTAATATTAGTTTGATTAGCTTAAAATTTATTAATATAAAATTCGAATTCTTCAAGTTTTAAAGAAACATAATAATTACAATCCTAACATATATTATAGGCTTTTAAAATAATAATTTTTATATATTTTTGGCTGGCCAAAAATTTGGCCAAATGGCCATGACCACTGGGCATATATTCGGACCCCTAAAATTTTTGTGGCGGCGTCATGTGTGGCTTTCATAGTTGGAAAATTAAAAAAAAAGTTTTGTTTAGAACCAATAAAGATATTTTTTAACGGTTTTTTATTATTATTATTATTATTATTAAAATTGCATATTTGTATCTATATATGGGTTTAAAATAAAAAAAAATGCTGCGGGAAATGCGAGTAATTTTAATGTAACGGTAACACATTTTATAGGTCTCGAATAAAATTATCATTCCGGAAGCACCAGATCTTTGAATATCCTGTACGTTTTACAAATATAATTAAAAAAAAAATATCGCACCGAAATTTTCGCCGACCGTCATCGAATAATCATACGTTGTTCATATTTCTAGAAATAAAGTGTCATTCTTTGGTACATTTGAAAGAAATTGAAATTATTGCATAAATTGCAACAATAAAAAAAAAAAAAAGTATATATATATATATATATATATTCCATGTCATTTGGCGCATCATACCTATAATTAACCTAATTTGTACAACAATTGTTATTTGCCAATAAAAATTTTGAGAATTTTTATTTACTTCCTCCCATCAAAAAATTTTTTGCCGAGAACGTAATCATGTATACAAGAATAATATTTATTAGGAAACATATCAATTTACGTTATATGCATGTAGGATACAAACAGTATCCTAACCCTATCCAGTCTCACTAACTTTGACCCAACACACATCTTTTTTGTTTTCCATATGAAACATGTAAAGTTCCAAAATTCGGCCGCATAAATAAAATTTAGCGGCTGAGATATTCCATATCTCATGACTTGCAATGCTCCTATGCATGTCCTCACTATTTTTTGTACGTTAATCTATTAGTATTATGTCTGCAAACAAAAAAAAAATTTTTTTTTCTTACACGCCTCTTTCTTGGATTGACTTTTAAAAAAAAAAAAAAGAGGGCCAAAAAATTTTTTTTTTTTTTTATAATGAAAAAGTTAACTACTACTACACCTGTTGTAAAATTAGAGCAACAGGTTGGGGGAACCGCTACAAGTAACTCAAATGTAAGCGGTATAAGACCTATTCCTTCTCTTGATCAAACTATGCCTACGATTCCTCGTCAACCAATGGGCCCACCACTTCAACCTCCTACTGGTTATAGGTCTGCTATTTACACGAATAACAATGTTTCTAACCAAATAATGGTTCTACCGCGTTGTAAGTAAGAATGATATAAGAGAAGAAAGGAATTCCACAAGCTTTTTATTATTATAATAAATTCGCATTTAACGCCTTTCCTCCTTCACCTCTCTAGTAAATACACAGTTGGGCAACCCTATATTAAGGTATTTCTTCTAAACTAAAATGAAAAATAATTCTTTTAAAAAAAATTTTAAAAAAATTTCATTTTGCGAATAAAATAGAAGAACGACTGCACCGGCTGCGCCTGGTATTGCAGGATCGACTGACGAAAAGGCTAGCTATGACGATGTTTTAACTTTTACTGGAGTTGACCTAAAAGTATGAAAATAAAGTAAACCCTAAATAAGTTTATTTCTTTTAATAGCCGTAATAACTCTTTGTAATATAGGAAGAAACAGACAATATTCTAAGAGAGAATGAATTATTGGGAGCTCGACAATCTGCTTCTACAATACAACTTCCAGATCGTTCACGGACGCAGAGTTTCTTGGATCAAAATAAACTTACAAGTGTAGTTACATCCATAGGTAACTACTATCTATATTAAGGAATAAAGATATTAAAGGAGAAAGTAAAAATATATATATAAAGGGAATAAAGGACAATCAACTAACTTTTCTATAAAACTGTTTTAGCTATGCAGCAAAAATTAGGAGTTAATCCTGATGTGATGACTTATTTAGCGCTTGCTACACAAGAAAGAATAAGATCTTTAGTGGAAGCAATGATTGCTGCCAAAAATCATCGGATACACTCGGAACATATACATCATCCAAGTGTAAACGGTGTTGAGAATCTACCAATGTATAAAGAAGTTGTTAGTTTAGATGTCAAATCACAATTACTTGCAATTGAAAAGGTAGAACGTGAGCAAGAACGTAAAAGAAGGGAAAGTCGAGCAGGATCAAAACATGATAAAACGGAAGATGAAGACGCAAAGGATCAATCAGAAAATGTACCATTAACACCTACCGTTGCACCAAAACGTCATAAACGTCAAAAGAAAGAAAGAGAGGGTACTTTACCTGCACCATCCATACATAAACTTACGGTTGATACGAAGAATACCAATATGACTGCTTTATCAGCAGCTGGTGGTAAAACTAAAAGTTGGATGATTGATCTTCAACCTGAACCTTCAACAATTAATGGAAGTGATACAACGCCCGCAGCTGGATCTAGACCATCACGTGGACGCTCAAGGTCGATCTCAAATGTTAAAAATCTTGCTAGTTCCAAAAGAGGAGAATCCCAACTAGTAGGAAGTTCATTCACCCATTTCGTCACCAATCCGTCTATTACTGGTCAACAGCAACCACTTAATGGTCCTGTTCCAACAATAACAGTGAAAGACGCTCTCTTTGTATTAGAAAAAGATCGTGGTGGTGGTGGCGGTGCCGGAAGTAGTCGTGAAGTTCTAATGAAGGTACTAAATAGAATTCAATGAATTTTATGAAACTTCTTATTTCCTTTTATCAATATTTAATTTCCCTATAATTGTAATAGGGATATGTCAAATGGCTCAGATAAATAATTTTTTATGGGATTTGGTTGGGATTTTCAAATTATTTTTTTTAATTACAGTAAGTACAATTATTTGTGAAGTGTAAAGAAATATTAAATACCTTGTATACCTTTTTTTTTTTAATTACTTACGCATAAAGTTCCTAGCGACTTTATTGCATTTTAAAAAAAAAAAAAAAAACGAGGTAATTTGTATATAAATTGATTGTAATAATAATTGTTAATCTTTTATGCATGCGGTTATATTGGTAAAAGGAAATCTTATCAATTAATCCATCGATAAAGATTTATGTGGAAATAGACAGATGGTATTTTAGTTTGATACTAAAAAAAAAAAAAAAAAAAAAAAATAATGTACAATCAAAGATTTAAAGTTATTAAATTATTATCAAAATTTATATATATTAATATAAAATTTAATAGTATTTATTAAGTTCAAATTAAACGAAAAATATCGCATACAGTATTATTTGCATCAGAATAACAACTGAGGCTTGAGATAAAAGTATTTTCAAATGTTTTAGGATCTTGTCTTATAATACATATATGATTTTTGATTAAAGTGTCACCCAAATTCTATATTTTTTTGTTTTGCTTGCTCGCAGTAACAATGACGAAATAATAATGGTTTTTAAATATATGACACGTAAATTCAGTTAAAAATTAATTTTGGCCTAATCGATCCAACAATTTTATAATATATTTGAAGTTAACCAGTTAACCACAGCCTCGACATTTGAAAATTTTGGTATACAAGTTCTATTAGATGGATTTATTTATATCGTGCAAGTACATCGATTTACACCACAAAAGGATAATCGAAGGGCTCATAATCGATTCGTCCAAAAACCGATAATTTGTTTATTCTACAAATAGAATGACAAACATCCGGAGTCCCCGTTTGATGATGAGTCCTTTAAGCAAAAAGAAATCATTAGAACATGATAAACGATCCTCAAAAAAATGAAAGAAAATTCTCATACCATTGAGGAAAACCATATTGACAGCTAGCAATTGCAAAATTTTCTTTAAACAAAAACATGGTGTTCATATCGTTAAAATTGACACCACCATTTTCTACAATATAGGTGACAATAGCGTCTTGTGTTTGACCATAAACGCCATTACGACAATTTAGCATCGTGGTGTCATTAAATCCTTGATGATTCCATTGAATGAAGATTGCAGAGTTATCAACTTTCATCCGTTTTGTCGCTCGAAGAATCAAAGCGGCTGTATTTTCGTTTTGTAGGTAAATTGGGAGAGCGAAAGGTACTAAATTAAAAAATTCATTTAGTTCGATCTTTTACACTTACAGAAATATCAGTTGTTCCTTTGTCAATATTTACTTACCAACTCCGATTTTCTCGGCGAGTTTTTCCACTTTTGATTTTTTATTAATTTTAAAAATTCGCTTTGATTTCCACTTTTCCATGATTGTTTTTCGTAGTAACGATTTAGTAAGTTTGAAATAAGTTTGAGGTTTCAAGAAGAGAGAAACATGATTTAGTAAGTTTAAATAATCGTATTTTTTTTTTAAATCAATAATAGTGATATTCAATGACAAAAAAAAATGGATTCTTTATCAAATTTTACCGACAAAGGACCTGAAAACCGAATTTTCACGAATCTTATAAAATTTTACCGGCTATATAAATTTTAATATTTCATAAATATATTTTATTAGTAAAAAAAAATCTTTCTTCATTTACTTGCTCTAGTCAAGATAAAAATTTTTTTCTTCCAACCCACAAAATGTTATCGTTTAAAGAATTTCGCAAATCAATTTTATCAAATTTTGCTTTGAAAATCTATCAAACTGATGAATAATCTTGGAGATAATAGTTTAATTTTTATGTTTCTAAAATTTTGTTTCTACTATACCATTGCTTGATATCCAAAAACGCTTCACAAATATTATTAACTTCTTTTTTTGATAAATAATCAATCCTTGTTCATAATATATATCTTGGATTCTTGGATTTATGGGATAATTGCCGGGAAAATCGTGTTCTGAAAATCAAAACATAGGATCCCAATCTAACTATATCCATCAAAAAAAAAAAAAAAAAAAAAAAAAAAAAAAACAGCGTATTGTTAACGTTAATTTTTCTAACAATCAAACATACCATATGAGGAATAATTATTTCGCTATATATTGCAAACGTGAACTTACAAAGATTCCAGGATTATAGTTTCACCGATTGTTACAATTGTTAACAGGTTTCTCAAATAAAAATTCTTATTTTTTTTTCCATTTTTTTCCTTTTGATTAAGATTTACACGTAAGAGCATGATTAGTTTGCGTCATATTTTCATTATAATGTTTCGAAACTTTATTGCATAAACATACACCAATATTAAGCATTAAATTTTGTTTAAATTAAAGCTTCTTCGATCGTGTAAACCAATTATAAGTTACATTGTATATGTTAAATAAGCAAAATATGTTAACTTAGTTTATAGCGCTAGGTCTCGAGAGTAAATTTATCCTAGAATTCAAGGATAAGAACGTTCATTACAAGTATTAGCAATTGTCATGAACCGTTCATGGTTCATAGATTACAACACCTTGGCACTATCTTTAACGAGTATGCATGTGTTACATTATCATCTTAATTTAATAAATTATTTATTTACCAAGGCACACGATTAGAAAATCCACTCGGCTTTTTTTTATTCATCGTTATCATTTTATATGAAAACGAAAATAATGTATCACTTATGTAAAGTGAAATTTGTTATTACATATTCATAAATTAGATTTGATCTAATATCTTATATAAAAAATGTCCAAGACTTATTCGTTAAACTGCTTAAATGTCTTATAAAAATGTAAAATTGATTCTCAAGACATAAAAAAAAAAATTAAAAATAATTTGAATGATCCAAACTGATCATAATGAGTTGTACCAAAACATTCCTTCCTTAGGTAGTAGCTTTTTGATACCACACCCACGCTTTGTCAGTGTTTTGCTTTACACCTTTACCATGCAAATAACAATCTCCCACAGGTAAATACGCTAACTTATATCCTCCTTCGGCGGATTTTAAGTACCAGCTGAATGATTCCTTTACATTTTTATCTGTTCCGATACCATACTTATAGCAATGTCCCAACGAAAATTGTGCAGCACCGTTTCCTTGCTTTGCAGAAAGCAAATATCATTTAAATGCGCTCTCTTCGTCCTTGTCAAAATAGCAGAAGAGGCCCATTCGATGTTGGGCTTCTGCATATCCATAATGTGCAGCGGTATAATACCATTCCACCGCTTCTTCTTTGTCTACACGAGTTCCCATACCGTATTCGTAACAATTTCCTAACATCCATTGCGAATTAATAAATCCTTCTCCGCAGAAAGTCGATACCATTCAAATGCTTTTCTTTCATTTTTATTAGTTCCTATGCCATTTTTGTAACATTCGGCTGTTATAAATTGAGAGATAATAAATCCCCCTTCCGCAGAGGCCTTGTACCATAAAATGCCTTTCCTTTCATATTTAATCGTACTTAGCCCGAATTGGGCTCTTGAATATTGTGCGTTAATATATCCTCTTCTAGCAGAATTATAGAACCATTTAAATGCCTTATAATCGTTTTTATCGATTCCTTTTCCTTTTTGATAACATATAGCTATGACGTATTGGGCCACAGCGTTCCCACTTTCTGCAAGTCAGAAAAAATTTAAACGCTTCATTCGTTACTTCATTATGATTAGACATTTTTTATGTATTTTTTTTTTTTTTTTTTTTAAGAGAATAAAGAGTTCAAAGTGTATTTTGTAGAATGATTATTTATATACAGTATACAATGTAATTTACATAAAAAAAAAAATTTTTTTTTTGTTTGTACGTTCAAAATGGAAAAAGAAATTTGTCTTAGTATCTTTAACCGCAGTAATCCAAAAAAAAAAAATTTTATCTTCATAAACGATACTATTGAAATGAAGGTTAGCATAGAGACAAATTTTGTTGAGACGGTACAAAAAAAAAAAAAACCTTTTTCATTCAAAAATCTAGTGTAACAAACTCTGACTATATTTATGTGATGCCGTGACATTTTAAAAACAAGTTCCGGCGCACAACTGGTTTGTTCAATCAATGATGTACTTTATTTTATTATTTGTGAGAATTTTTTTTTATACATTTGAAAACTTGATTTTTTAATTTGGGTTCAAGATTTCATTGATTAGCGGTTAGTGGTGTTATCATTCCGATCATGCTTCTATGCGAAACCATCTCAATTTTAATTTACTTTATTTTTTATATGGGATTTCTCCTTAGCATTGTTATAAAAGGAAATATCGTAGGACTCAAAAGATATTACTCAAGTATGGTTGGTTCGTATTGTTATTCTAGAGTGTCCTTCGTTATCCTTTTCAATATTCTGAATTCTGTAGTTGGCTTTAAAGTAAACCAAAAAGTTCAAATTTAAAAAGGATAGTCCATCAATTCCAAAGGGTCCAACGTCCGTTTTAAGACGTCGATAGCTAACATCTAATATCAATAAAAGCAATGTAACGATTGCAGTGAATATAATTTCAGCCACATATTTGGTGCGCAATGCGCAGAAAAACATCTTTGTGTTCGCGCAAAAATAAAAAATCAAAAAATTTTCCCTGT